TTTTAAATTCGAATTTGTTATTGCGTATTGGTTCGATTATAGAACGATTGTAAACGTTTCAGAAAATTGATCAAATTGAAAATAGTTCGTTTGATTTTCGGCAATTCTCTTCAGCGGTAGGTGTTATATAACAATTACTATGGTTATTGAAATATTGGATGTAAATGGGGTTTGCTTGCAAAACCTCCGCTGACGAAGTCGCGGGTAACAGCTAGTCTAAATATATAAATACTTGTCCTGACTGACTGACTCATCATCACCCAGAGCAAACTACTGAACCTAAAGAGGTGAAATTTGGTACACAGTTAGGGTATGTCATGAAAACGCACACTAAGAAGGGATTTTTGAATATCCCCAGGGGAGCATTAAGGCTTAACCTGAATAATGGCTTCTACTGTACTATTTTAAATGCGATTTTTTGTTTTCAACTACGTTTAGTCTTCATTGAGTACTTAGGTGTATTAAATTGATAACATTTCAGACATTGTTATAAATATTTTTATCCATTTCGATTTTAAAAATGTTCGAACCGTTTTAAATTCGAATTTGTTATTTCGTATTCGTATTGTATGCGTTTTAGTAGGGTATGCCATGAGAATGGACACTAAGAAGGGATTTTTCTAAATTCTCCCGCGGGGGGAGAGGGAGAGGATTAAGCTTAACCGGAAGAATGGCTTCTACTGTACTATTTTAGATGCGATTTTTTGTTTTCAACTACGTTTAGTCTTCATCGAGTACTTAGGTGTATTAAATTGATCACATTTCAGACATTGTTTAAATATTTTTATATATTTCAATTTTAAAAATGTTCGAACTGTTTTAAATTCGAATTTGTTATTGCGTATTGGTTCGATTATAGAACGATTGTAAACGTTTCAGAAAATTGATCAAATTGAAAATAGTTCGTTTGATTTTCGGCAATTCTCTTCAGCGGTAGGTGTTATATAACAATTACTATGGTTATTGAAATATTGGATGTAAATGGGGTTTGCTTGCAAAACCTCCGCTGACGAAGTCGCGGGTAACAGCTAGTCTAAATATATAAATACTTGTCCTGACTGACTGACTCATCATCACCCAGAGCAAACTACTGAACCTAAAGAGGTGAAATTTGGTACACAGTTAGGGTATGTCATGAAAACGCACACTAAGAAGGGATTTTTGAATATCCCCAGGGGAGCATTAAGGCTTAACCTGAATAATGGCTTCTACTGTACTATTTTAAATGCGATTTTTTGTTTTCAACTACGTTTAGTCTTCATTGAGTACTTAGGTGTATTAAATTGATAACATTTCAGACATTGTTATAAATATTTTTATATATTTTGATTTTTTTAACCAAATGTTCGAACCATTTTAAATTCAAATTTGTTATTACATATTTGTTTGATTATAGAATGATTGTAAAAGTTCCAGAAAATTGATCAAATTGAAAACAGTTCATTTGATTCTCAGCAATTCTCATCACTCAGTGGTAGGTGTTATATAATAATTACTGTGATTGTTAAATACTGAATATAAATAAAAATTGTGAACAGAGAGTAAAATAAAAAAACTCTACAGTTGAGTATTACAATTCTTTATTCAGATATACATTTCATAGATGATCAGAAGATTCCACTAATTTACGACTTATTTACAAATAAATTAATATTGAAAGATTGAAACTAACTATTCTCCAAATAAATTTAATTTGATTACATGTTTGAAAAAAATCAAAGAAACACAATTTACTCTATGCATCTAAGAATAAAGCCTTTTATACAGAAAGGACTGACATTTTTTAAAAACTCACAACATCCGTAATTGTTACTACAAAAGATATTTGTTGAAAGATGTGAGTTCATATTGAAATAGCATTTTACAGAATCAAGTGTAGTAAACATCTCCTATGTGGTGTCTGTTATCAGTGATGCATTTCTGGAGACAATTTTGGCAACTTCCACATGAATAGCTTCCTTCAGTTATTGCAAAGAACAGGCTTATTCTCATATACATGTGCCTTGAGGTCTCCCCACAAGAAATAATCGCACATGAATAGGTCAGGCAAATGAGGAGTCCAGTGAATGTCACCAAACCTGAAAATGAGGTGACCAGAGAAGAGATGACAACTAATGTCACAATTGATGCTCTAGCTGTGTGGGCTGTCGCCTCTCCTGTTGAAACCACACGTCTGATGGGAATATGTTTCCATCGTACGCAAGGATGCAGAAATGTATTTCCTTCAGATGTGTATGACTGGGCAATCCTCTTTGTGTATGACTGTTTCCTCAGTTGTGCGCAAATATGTGATGATCTAGCATCCATGGCTCCATGCCTTCAACCGAAAAGACAATGCTAAGACCTCACTACTTTCGTGCTACCTGTCACACATCTGTCATTTCACCTAGTGGTAAGTTCTAGCATTTCAAAAATGTCCATTCTTTCTACACCACCTTGTACATACACTCTTTGACAAAAAAATAATCAACACACCCCAAAAAGTAATCCAACTGCAATGAAATGTCATATTCAAATCCCTTTTAACTGAATATGCCAATGATAAAAATATTAACACCAGATGAATGAATGGTCTGAGCTACAGAACATTGGAAGTGCCATCATGATGGTGTATATGTTATGGACAAAGTGATTAATTGGTCATTATTCATAATGCCCATATTAATCACTTTGTCCATAACATATACAAAGCATGATTCTTCCTTTGAGGAACTGAACTTTCAGTGGAATTTGATTGTGCTGGCCATTGTTAATTGCAAACAATGCCTTGCTATCAAATTCGTGTACATTACAACCATAAGATGGACTTTTGAAACAGGATGTTTTATCAGACTAAAAGAAAGTGGTTGAACAAATCAATGTATCATCCAACATTTGGGTTGAAGTGATATGACAATTAGATGATGCTGGCATGAATGAGTCTTGAATGACAAAGTCTAGAGAAAAGAAGGCAGTGGACAGCCTAGAGTGATGACAGAAAATGATGACTGATTATTTGAGCAACTGTAACAGCACCAGAGTCATCACTATCGACCATCCAACATGTGACCAATGCCAAAGTGACTAACAGGACCATTGCTAGATACTACACAAACAGAATCTACACACAATGCCTATTATGCCAGCTGCCATTGATCCGTAGCCATCATCAAGAATGCAGTGGTGCTGGGTTCAATTAATGTGGAACTGTTCTGACTGGGAACAAATCATCTTCAGTGACAAGTCCCACTTTGAAATGAGTTCTGACAACAATTGCAGACATCTATGGAAATATTATGGCCATTGCCAGAATCCCACTTTTACTGTCAAACACCATACGGCCTGACAACAAAATGTCATAGTTTGGAGTGCAATTTCTTTTCATAGCTGGACCCCCTTAGTGGTAGTCAATGGCACCCTCATAGCACAGCAATATGTTCATGACATTCTGAGACCTGTTGTGATACTATTCCTTTTGAAGTACTCAGGGCATACTTTCCAACAAAACAATGTCCAGCCACACGACATGCCTCTCACATAAATGTCTTTGTGATTGCAACTTCTTTCTTGACCAACCAGATGGCCAGATTTCTCTGCAATTGAGCCTGATGAGGGCATCACCTGTAACCATCTGAGAATGTTTGGCAAGATATACCTCAGTACACTATTTGTCAATTTTATGAATCAATGCTACTGCAGATAACAGCTTATATTCAGGCAAGAAGTGGCCAACATTGTACAGCTTTCTCTGGAATAAATCAACCAACTAATTCAAAATTGTAATCACTTCTTTTTCTGTGCATGTACTGTATAATAAACATAACAAATTTTGTTCTAGTTGGATAATTCCTTCTTGGTGCATCAATTTCTTTTACAAAGTGTATATAACAACAGATGTTTTTCCTACACATTTATGAAATTATCAAAGAATTAAAACAGATTTCAAGATAAAAGTCAGCAAGAAAACTTTTCTTTGTTAATCACTCACAGATTTATTGTATTCTCAAATCTTAATCATTATTACATAGAATCTGACATTTTAAAATTAAAAATCACTGATCTTTACTAATACTTTTCATGTATTTAATTAATTAAAAACAATTTATCAAAAATTGAAATTTAATTTGAATATACTTAATTTTTCCATTCTTATATAAAAATATCTTAAATAAATTTTTCTTTTTAATGGAGTAATTATTAGCAGTTCTAGTGTTTTTATTTTGTTTGTATGTCAACAAATTTATATACAGACAAAAGAAACAACACATTTCCACTTAATACATTTGCTTGTATAGGGTAAAAGTATATTTGTTTTTGATATTTGTATATATACAAATTTATTGTTGGAACACAAGAATTCTTTGAAAATCAAAAACAAACTATCAAGTAACTGTTACATAAATTTTCAAACAACAATTAGCAATATCAATTTTTCCTGATGAATATATTCAAAATAAACCTCTCAATCCAGCATATTCAACTTTAATATTAATGTTTTCAGCCATCTTAATGGCCTCCTTCAGAATATTCATAGTACATACATCAAAATTCTAATTGAAAAGGAATGAAAACAGAGCTTAGATTCAAATTACATTTAAATTATGGAACATTATGCAATTGGTTGCATTTATAACAATCAAAACTTTCTTCTAATTTAAAATTTTTATTAATTGACATTGCTAATGATAACATTTGATATTTCTAATAATCCTACTGATAGTGAACATACATTATTATTACTATTTATGTAATTTTTACATTTTTATATTTATAAAATTTAATGATTAAGAGAAACTATTTTATATCAAAATATTTAACTATTAAATTTTAAAGTATACTTAAATAATTTTTTAAATAACACAGAAATATCTGGGTTTATATTATTTATTATAGATATCTGCACAGTTAATCTATAGAGATTATTTCTATATTAGTAAATCACAAAAGAGCATGCACCTTATTATTAATCATTAGCAAGTTAATTACATGAATTTCAACTTACATATTTCTCTTCAAATTTTCTAGCTAATTCTCTCAACTTATCATCATTGTCATCATCATCATCACCAAAAGGAGTATCATCTTGAACAGGCTCCTTTTTATCATCCTAAAAGATAATTATTGTTTAAAAACTTTTGAAAATGTACTTTGATTCTTAAAACCAATATAATTTTTTAATAATAAAATCTAAATATATAAAATTGCTTGTCCTGACTGACTCATTCATTCATTCACTGATTCATCATCGCCCAGAGCAAACCGCTTAACCTAAAGAGGTGAAATTTGGTACACAGTTAGGGTACGTCATGGAAACGCACACTAAGAAAGGATTTTTCGAAATTCCAACGCGGGGGGGTGAGGGAGAGCATTAAGGCTTAACCGGAAGAACGGCTTCTACTGCGCTATTTTAGATGCGATTTTTTGTTTTTATCTGCGTTGTAGTAGGGTATGCCATGAGAATGTACACTAAGAAGGGATTTTTAGAAATTTCCCCGCGGGGGGTGAGGGAGAGAATATAGTTTTCATCGAGTACTTAGGTGTATTAAATTAATAACATTTCAGACATTGTTATAAATATTTTTATCTATTTCGATTTTAAAAATGTTCGAACCGTTTTAAATTCGAATTTGTTATTGCGTATTGGTTCGATTATAGAACGATTGTAAACGTTTCAGAAAATTGATCAAATTGAAAATAGTTCGTTTGATTTTCGGCAATTCTCTTCAGCGGTAGGTGTTATATAACAATTACTATGGTTATTGAAATATTGGATGTAAATGGGGTTTGCTTGCAAAACCTCCGCTGACGAAGTCGCGGGTAACAGCTAGTTTATTATAAATTAACATAAAAATTATAAAATACAAAATATCATAATTTTTATATATATTAAAAATATTCATAATTTGTATTTTTTAATCTGTATATATATAACAGTACAATTGAATTAAAAGAATATCATCAAACAGCATTAAATGAAAACATGTCTGTAGTAATAAATGTTTATAAACTTACAAGTTAGTCAACCAATTAAAAATTAAAGAAATCAAAATGTTAATGTTATGACATTTTATATTACTGGACAAGAATTTTCTTGAAAGCATTTGATAATTACTTACAAAAGAATAAAATAAAGCTATCACTGGATCATTAATATTAATTATATAATAATTTTTACCTATAAAATATATTTACATCAATTGTGTGTGATCCTTTCAACTGTCATCTTCAAATAAAGAAATTTTATATGTTCAGTATAAGACTTTTTAAACGTATATATTAGGGATTATATAAACTGTATAAACAAATTTATACCTTCTTGTAAAATTTTATAATTAACATTACTAAAATCTAAATACCATAATAAAATATTAATAATTAGATATGTATGCACTATACAAATTTGGTTTGGTTAAAATTTTAAAATCATCAGATTATATTATTATTAATTACATATTTCCTCATGCTTACTATTCATTTTGTTGTATTCTAACTGAACATATAAATTTTAAATAATAATGAAACCTAATTTGAATATTTAAATATCTATAAGCTAGGCAGACCATATCATTTAACAATCCAACTAGTAGGACTATTTCAGAATCAGTAAAATGGGTTCTAGAACTGAGTGAACATTAGTTAATTTTTAAAATTTATTTATTTATTGATCTATAAATTGGTGATGTTACATTAATGTGTTAATAAAACTGTTCTATTCAAAGATTGATTTTACAATCAAATATTAGAAACAGACAAAAGCAGGAACTGTCTCTAGAGATCAGGAACGTATGGTAACCCTATATGATAAGATTTTTACATGTATTGATTAAACTATATGGTTATATAATTCAAGTTACTATATATCAAAGCAATGATATGACAAAGATCAGAGTAGAATAAGTAGTGGAAACACATTTGCATGGTAAATAGATGTGTTAACAATTGAGTGAATTAAGAAAAATGTCACATCCAACATTAGGAAATTTCTGAAAAAAAAAAAAAAAGAAAATTTGTGTTTCACTTTAACATTTTAATATGCAATATTTTATTAACATGGATGTACAATCTATGGAGAATATAACTGAACTGTGAAAGTTACTTAGAAGATAAATCAATGATGCACAAATCCAAATTTGTTAGTAACTTGTTTTTTGTAGTTTTGCAGGATGTGTCATTTCTCCACAAAGTCTCTCAATTGCAAGTTCAAGTCCTGCTCCAAGTCAATCTTTTCTTCAAAATTCTTCTAAATCATTTAATTTATTAAATTACTTTTTAGACAATATTAGCACAAAATGGTGGTCTGTCCTACCTTTGCAACAGGTTACACAGTTTGATTATGTTATTAGTGAAATGAAAACTCAAAAATCCAGCTTGTAGATATATTCACATAATATAAAATAAAATGAAAAATATAAAAGTAAAGCAAACATGTTCATGAAAAAATATATTGATAATTATATGCACTGTGTAAGTGTATTTGAATATTTTTCATCTTTAATTTTTGCCTTTTAATACATCCATTATATTTCAAAAGTCTCTGAAATGTATTATTTTTAAACAATATTTCAATAATAATAATTGTTTTTACTTTTTATCATCATCATATTTTCATACTAGATAAGAGGTACCCAACCTTCCTCACATACTGATCTCTTTCAGAAAAAAATTCTTTCCATCAACTCCCTTCAATATTGTATATTATATATAGACATATATGGAACAGCCTCTTACATAATTTTAAAAAGGCATCTTCTTATATTTATTTGAGAGGAAAAAACAATGCGTAAAATTTTTAATGTTTTTAAATAATCATACATTATTATTACTATTTATGTAATTTTTACATTTTTATATTTATAAAATTTAATGATTAAGAGAAACTATTTTATATCAAAATATTTAACTCCCTGTACTAAATCAACTAAAAAAAAAAAAGCATAAAAACGATGTATTTTACTAGTCAGAAAAGCTCTCTTACAGAAGCTTGAATAGATAAAATATATAAGCTCATATCTAATATACATAACAAAGAAATTCCAATTTATAAAATATTTATATAATGTGTAAAGAATGGTAGTAATATTTTTATAAGTTCTTGTACAACAGTAGTAGTAATCCATGAAGTACATATCAGATAAAATTCAATTTAAAAACAACTATAATTCTATTATAATTGTCATCAATTACACTAGTCTACAGCCATTTTGTGACTACAGAAAAAAAAGATGTTTTTTTTGTTAATTAATTGCTAAACGTTAAAATGAAAGTAAAAATTCCCTGGCATATAAAAATGAGTTATGATTTTATGGTCAAGCTAGCATAAAGAATATACCTGTACTTGATCCAAAAAAGTCTTATTACTCCTACTGCATATAAAACTTGTTTTAATAAAACCTTCATCAAAACACTAGATAAAGAAGACCCTGCTTTCAAATATGTTAAACAGATTTTTTCAAAACTAAGTGACACTAAGCTTAAAGAAGGAACATTTGTAGGACCTCAAATCAGAAAATTATTGCAGGAAGCACAGTTTGCTCAAAAATTGCATGAAGTTGAACTAAGTGTATGGACAACTTTTTAAAGTTGTGTAACACAGTTTTTGGACAACAGAAAAGCAGAAAACTAAGAAAAACTTGTATAATTACTTAAAAACTACAGTAATTTTTTTTTGTTTTATATACAGTATATTGGTCCTTGATATTAATATTTTGTTATGTAAAAAACAGGTAAAATTTTTCTGAATTGTTTTACAAAATATATTATACATAAACAAATTTGCAACAAAATTTTAAAATGGCATTTTAAATACTTGTAATAATATTTTAAGATTTTATGATAAAATTATATTGTATTTATGTATGTATTCATGAACTCAAATTTTTTTATCACTATAACAAAATTTCAGTTATACAAATAATAATTAAATATGACATTTGTATATCATATTCAAATGCCATTTTTCTTTAAATATTTATTTTCTTAAAAACACTAATATTTTAATTGAATTTAAGAAATTATTAAATTATCCATATACAGAGTACATTTAAACTCTACATTTGCACTCTAACAAGTTTTATAAACTAATACATTAGATTTTTGATAAAGCAATATCAGAATATATCTTGTCAGTAATATTATTAACAATGTATACTAAGATAAATAATGAAATGTTAACAATTGTGTTTAATAAGCATGATTAAAAATTAACTAAAAAAATTTAACATTTTAGATATTTAGACAAGATAAACCAATGGAAAAATTAACTCAACTTTAGTTCTTTACTATTAAATAGTTTAAAATCCAAGACAATTTAGCCATTTATCAAGCTGTCTGTGTATTAAAATTAGAAGAAAAAAACAAAATCAACAAAAGCTATCTTTAATTTTAGAAGACTTAAAAATTGATAAAGTATTCAGAAGAATTTTTCAATTGGTTCATATATAACTAATAGAAATTAATAAATATATATATTTAATAACTGAACAAATTACATGAAATTAAACCTATTGGTTAATTTTGCATCTACATAGGACTAAGGCTAAATTAAAATTTTAGTGCCAATATATAAAATGATGATGATTTTAAATGAAATATTCATATTATTATTCTAACATTACTTATTGAATAAATAGAAAATTTTCTAATTAGTTTAAATAAACAATTTAAATTTTTTACTGTAACTTCAGAAGAATTCCAGTTTATTTTACTAGATCAAAAAGTTGGAAAAGGCTATTGCTTGACTCGAAATTTAAATAACAACAAGCAATTATTTACTGTGACATCATCACAATGTTGAGATGCAATTTTTAATCACATTTTTAATTTATTTAACTTAAAATATATACTTTCCATCTTAAATTAATAGTGGTTTGCCCCTATGCATCATACTTTTCCTTTAACAATAGACTTGTGCCAGTCATCTATCTAATTCTTTTCAGGGAAAAATTTTTTAATTGAAGTAACATGACTTCTGGTTTGCATCAGAAGTTTATATATAGTTAATCAGGGCCTCCTACCCCTAAGGTTTTCATGTCTGTTCTTGTCTTTTATCTACCTAACTCAGTTCTCAAGATTAAGGAAAGACGGACAGACAGTGGAAATTTATAGGTCTACAATTTTTTCAAATTGCAGCTCTACAAAAGCTTAGAAGGAATAATTTTGTTGAATTATTAAAAATTTCTCAGGTTTAATTTCTTAAACCAAAGAAATTTCTTAACCATTCGTAAATTTTTAATTTACGAATGGTTAAGAAATACCGGACAATAAAGGTAAACGAGTGAGTACAAGATTAGTAAAAATTTCTCTATTTAAAAGGATACTTAAGTTTTAAAAAAACAATAAGACACATTAAAACAAAGTTAAAATTGTGTGGTACCATTGGTTATAAAATTTTATTAAAAAATAAATCTTTATATGGTGAGACAGTAGTTAATGAACACTCCCAAACAGCGGACACCTCTACTTAACATTTTTACAAATCCCCATACCCTTCAAATAAAACACCTCTTATATTTACCTCTAAATAGCAGACAAACTTCTCAATTCTGACAGTGTCCACTATTGGCAAATTATACTGTATTATTAACTATTATAAAAAGGCACTACACTTAATTTTAAGGATAAAGAGAATTGTAAATGCCAAAGAGGAGTGAAATTCTCATTAAGTCCTGCAATAGTTAAATCTTTGCTGATACCATGAAATATTTAATAGTGTGTGCAGTGGTGCATCAAGTACAAAACATGGGAACATAATGTGGTTGGATCCCACCAATGGGCATTTCAAAAAGAAACATTTGTGAAAAATTGCCAGCCATTTAGAGGTGGCCATTTTTGGAGATTCAAATGTATTAAAATTTTGATATAATCAATAACTTATCTTTTCATAAAACATTTTTTATTTAACTCTAAAGAAACTGATACAATATGTTTAGATCCAAGAATTTGAATTATTAATAAAATAGAAAATATGCAAAAAGACAGCAGTAATAATAAAAATCATACAAATATTATGAGAACTGTTGTAAAAATGAAAATTCATGTAAGTTGATTCTCTCTAAATTTTCAAGCATTTTAATAGCATTTTTTCTTTGTTTTTTTTTTTATTTTAATACATATATTATGCTAAATCTAGAAATGTTGCTCATTTCATGAAATAAACAAAAATCTACATAACGTATGAAGTTGGTACATTAACTGTTGATTTCATAAATTATACAAATTTTCTGCCTATTTCAAAAACAGCATTCAAAATTAGCTTATTTCATAAAATTGTCAGTTTACATTTTCCAATAAGATGACAACTTTTTGTTTCACTCACTGTATTATGTCTTATGAAACATTTGGCAAAGATTTATTTTTAGAATTGTCTTTGTACTTGAAAAATACTTAATGGTATTTTTATACTTTCAAATGATGTTTATGTACATGTTACAATAAATTAAAGTTAAGCATTAAGCATATATTAT